GGATCAACCATCAACACTCATGAAAATAGTAGTCAAGAAATCAAAAGTCATATTGCATTAGGCAAATCTGTTGTACAAGACCTCTTTAAAGTGTTCAAGAGCAAATATGTCAGTTTGATGAGTAAAGTATGCTTGGCCCAAGCCATATTTTCAATAACTTCATACACATGTAAAAGTTTAACAATGAATAAGGGAGACAATAAAATAATTGATATATTTGAGCTATGGTGTTGAAGGAGAATGTTAGAAGTACCATGGACCTGCAAAATAACAAAATAATCTGTATTGGAAGAAGTACAGCCAGAATGATCTGTAGAAGCCAAGATGGCCAGTCTTTATCTCTCATACTTCAGGCATATTATCAGGAGGGACCAGTCTCTGGAGAAGGACATTATACTTGGTAAAGTGGAGGATCAGTGAAAAAGAGGAAAACCCCAACAAGATGGATATGCAGTGACAGAAACAAATGTAGTAATGATTGTGAGGTTGACACAGGACAGGGCAGTACTTAATTATTTTGTACACCAACTCCAGGGCACCTAACACCAACAATAACATAAGACAACAGTTATGCATACCTTTGTTTATTCTGTGAAACAATATGTTTAAGAGATAATGGTTTCTAATAATCATTTAGAGAAGGAGGACTGAAATCTTAAATTTATCAGAAGTTGCAAAAACAGTCGATCATAAAAGACTTGAAAACATGTCTACGCATATGTAAATGTGTAGAAAAATACCCTTTTTAAACAGATGGAAAGGTCAATGGATTTTGAGATCTATGGGTGTCATTTCCACTGCTTGTCCCTTGGTGGAGTTCTTGAGTCACATTCTTCCTTTCCGTCAACCTGCTTTTATATTTCTTTCTAGAACTGGCTGTCATGTTTACTGTATTTAACCTTTTTCTTGTATTATTGTGAATTCAGCGTCTATTATAAATGAAAGCCCCCCTGAGATCATGTGTCCAGCACCTTCTTCTTTTGTATTCGGACCTATAAACTTTTGTTGTGGTTACTTCTTCCTCTGTCTTGTTTTTTTTTTAAGCCCTAAACCGACTCTGAATGCTATTTTTTCAGCTCAGTTACTGAATTTTCTGAACTGCAAAGCAGTTAAGTAAACGGGATTAACAGTTTTTTTTTTTTTTGTTTTTTTTGTAGGATTCCAACTACCATATATTTGTTTAAGGTAGAATATTTGGCACTAAACGAGATGGTGTTTATATTTCAATTAAGTTTATTTTTATATATCCTGATTTCAAAAGTACATTTCTTTTTTTTTATTTCACTTGGAGGGGGAAAGGCCAGCAAACTAAAAAACAACATCATTAAGTAGGAAGCAAAATGGTTCAGCATTCTCCGAACCATTTTGCTTCCTACTTGCGATGACGTCCTATTTCTCTGATCAATGCAATCTTTAGGACACAGATCTCGTTTTCTCTCTTCATTTCTGGCAGCCAAAGCAGCAGCAGCACCAAGCTCCTTAATTTATTGCAGCCGGTTACACTTTCCCATCCCATTTCCTTCTCAACCCTATCCTCTCAGGTTGAGAAGACAAATGCAGCCTCGGGTCTGAGAAGCCAGGCGGGGTTTGGGAGTGGGAGTGGAGCCGGATAGCATATTCCCTTGGTGAGGTCTGGTACCCGAAGGAATTAAGTCCCCCGGTTCCATTTAATGAAATTGCTGAGCACTTGTGACACTGGCTCTAAGACTGCGGAAATGGGGCGGGGGTGGGGGAAACGACTTCTCGCCTTCATTCATCCTCCAAGCGGGCGGGAGTCTAGGAGGAGAGTGTCAGCCCCCAGACAGGGGGCGGAAGAGGATTGGGAGCTCCGACTGCGGCTAGAACGCCCTGAAGGCTCTTCTCACCTCGCCTCCACCCCACCCCACCCTACCCTTGCCCATTCCGATCCTGGTTCCCAAGAACCGCGTTGCCTGCAAAGCCGCAGCCTCTGCCTTTTAGCAGCTTTAGCAGAAAGGTCGCTGCCGGAGACCAAGGGGGGAGGGAATAAAGCCAGGAGGCTCCCTGGCCTGAGCAGTTTGGCTGGACTTCGAGCTGTTCTTCATGCCGCACACGTCGGGCCCATTTCCCACGCTGCCTTGGTCAGCGGCAGAGTTGGTAGGGATATGAGTGGAGAGGGCGGGTAGGAGACTACCTCCCGTTGCAAATAGGAAACCACTCCACTGTGAAGGGCGCGCCGCAACCTCCCAATTCCCGAAGAAGAAATGTGCAGCGCGTTCTGGGGAAAGCCTTCCACTTCTAATCCCTCAGCAAGTGTACGCCTGACAAGCGCGTGCCAGAGTGGCTGGCAATGCCTAAAGACTTGGAGGGGATTGTTTAAGTTTAAGTCTGGAGAGGGGAGAGGAAATGCAGGATGTCTCTGACCACGCGGTGGCAAGAAGTTTGCAAAATCTAGGAAAGCCTGCGAGAGGAGTGTGTGCGCTGCACCATTTTGCCGCGCATCGGAATGCAAATGTACAAAGCTACCTAAAGGAGACAGCTTCTCTGGATCACCTCCGACTCAAGGGAAAAAGGAATGGAGGTGGGCTGTCATCCTGATAAGCCTGAGTTCTTGGCAAATACAAGGGGCATTTGACATGACCGTCACCTAGTTGGCCGCGAAAGCGCTGCGGCGCTCGCCCCCGCCCCCCGCCCCCGACTTAAGACTGCGGCGGTTCGTACTGAGTCTGCGCACCGGGCTTTTCTCGCTGATGCTGCAGATGTAGAGCAAAGCGTCTCCGGTGGCGGGGGAGGGACTGGGGGAAGACCCGGTTCCCGGCTCTGGACCCAGAGGAGGAGCCACCCCTCGAGTCCTGATGCTTTGGCACTGTGGAAAATACTCCTCCGCTCCCTGGCACTCACCGCACACACACTTCCATTCTCTGCGCCTCTCCAGTCCCTTTTAGGGAGAGCTGGAAAATCTCTGCTGCCTCCCCCTACCAACTCCAGTCCTGCATGCTGCGCCCGCCCAAACAACCGCGCGCTACATCTGCTAGTAGACTTTATTGGTGTTTGTCTTGTTTAAATCATTCTGCCTTCCCACTCTGGCCTCGTAAAGGCAGAGTGCTCACTCTGGATAGATTGCTTTTTCTTTTCGCTTTAAAATATCCCTTAAAGGGAGACCCTCAAATGCTTGTAGATTGAGTAGACAAATTGAGGACCACCTAAATACCAACAGCAGCATTTTTTGTCCGTTGAGGTGCTAAGAATTCTTCCAATAGCCCCAAGCCTGTTTTAACCGTCATAATTTTGACAGAGTCCCCTAGTTTAACAGGCGCTGAAGTGAATTAGGAGCAAAAGGCTACAGTGCAAAAAAGGAGAGACCGGAGATCTGAAGAAGGCGGGCTGCGGTGGGCATGATTGAAAAACTAGAAAGGGGTAATACCACGGGTGATCATGTGGCACAAAGTCAAAAGATAGGAAAGGATCTGGGGACACAAAGTTGCCATTAAAGTTTAATATTTCTCTTTTATCTAGATAGGTGACGCTATACTTTGCCAGTTATTAAAGGCTGCAAATTTCTGTTCAGAAAATAATATCGAGTCTTCTTACATGTGTTTATTCCCCAGGCGCGCGCACACATGATCTACCCTGAAAGCATGCAAGATGACAGGAATGTCAAGCATTTAAACAAAGACAGGCTTATCTTCCTTCCCTCTACCAGCCCTCTTAAGTCTACGCTCCAAAAAAGGATCCCTCCCTCTTCAGCTCTCTCTGGAGTTTATATGGTCTCTTAAGCACTGCACCCCATCATGGTTTCTCAGAACACCAGTGTGGCTTTCTGGGCACACGCGGGATCCCCAAGCTACCGCCGGTGACCATGTACTGGCCAAGAATGCTCAATAGCAAACATAGACAATTTTTTTTTTTTTTTGAAGAGGGTGGAAGGCTTCGTCAGGGAGGGGAGAGAAGGAGAAAGGTTTCCTGACACCGGCCCTAGTGAGATCACACACACTCTCGACATTAGTCAGGGCCAGGAGGAAATTTACCAGCCCGAGGGAGGGAAAGAGTACCAGCGAGAGGACTCTGGCTGCACTTGCTAAAGGAGGGCGGGGGCGTGAGGGGAGAGCCGATTTTGGTTTAAGGAGGACTGGCTGGGGCTGAACATACTCAGAGCGTTCTGGGACCTGAAGCTAGGCTTCACACACCGCGGCGGCTAGCTGGTACTCCTTCAAGCCTCCCTCCTCCTAGACCTCCCCCCTCCCTCTCTGTGAGTTTGTAGTTTCGGTAGCTCGACTGCTGCTTCCACCGCCGCCGCCGCCACGTCAGGAACGAGCCTGAATCGCTAGTGTGTGAGTGAGCTTCCAGTAGCAACCACCACTTTGGGCAAACTTGCTGGTTTCCGGCTCCCGAAGAGCGAGCCAAAGCTTCCCAGTTGTTGCTCAGCGTTTCGAAGCTCCGCTAGCCCCGGGGGCGGCGGGAGAGCCTGCACCAGACCTCAGAAAAGCTAAAGGGGGCGAGACAACTGCGGAATTCACCAGCCCCACCGGGGCACTTCCGAGGCTACTACCGACTGGCACTTTTTCCTCCCCTTGGCCGACTGGATTTTTTTTTTTTTTTTTTAAAGCTACTTGGCAGCTCCCTCTGACTCCACCCACCCACCCCCAAAAGCCTTTTGCTTTTCTTCGGAAATCTGTAAAGAATTGAGCATCTTTGTTAATTGCCTTTGGGGAACCCGGGAAGACGCTTTCGCCAGGCTTAAGTCCCCTATGCACCGAGCCTGGCTTGCTCACCTTTGAACTACAAAGGGATCAAGTTCAGCTCGAGTTCCCTGCATTGGGACTGGGAGGAAGGATTGAGGGAGCGTGCAGGCAAACGAGTGGGAGAAGGGGAAAGGGGAAAAGAAGAGGAGGGAGGAGAGAGGGGGAGGGAGAGGGGGGAGGGAGAGGGAGGGAGGGAGAGAGGGGAGGGATCGAGAGAGAGCGCGGGGAGAGAGAGAGGCTGCAATCTCCTCCCTGAATCGCGCACAGCGCTGCAGATCCTAGTGCTCCGACATGCGGGCCGATTGCAGGTGAGGAAAGGCAGACTCTGCGGCTGAGAACCCAAACTTGGGCACCGCGCGGTGCGCACTACTCAGCCCTCGCCTTCGCGGGCGAACGGCTGCTGCAGCTTCTGGCTGAGGCTTCGTGACTAATGACCTTGCGCAGAGTTGTTAAGAAAAAAGAGAAGCCGGAGCTTTCGGGGGTGAGAAAGGACTGACTCTTTGGGAGTCTCTGAAGATGGCTTGGGCTGCTCTTCGGCGCTCCGGGGGCACCCGGTCTAGAACCACGCTGTGACGCGAGTGGTCTCTTCTGCTTGGTGCCCGAAGCGACCTGCCGGAGATTTTTTTTTTTTTATTCTTGGTTTGTTGACTGGCTCCCCCGCTGCCGAAGCAGAGTCGGAGTTGAGACTGGCTTGTTGCTGGCCCTGGCGTCTCGCGCAAGAAAAGACTCACGTTTGCCTAGGCAGCCGAAGGCGGAGCAGAGACTGAGATTGGAGTGAGTGGCTGAAACGTGCATTGGACTCTATTCGAGTAGTAGCCGAGACGAGTGGGACTGGCTGGCGCGGGAGTCTGCAGACTAGCTCCTCGCCGCCTTCCGGCTCCACCGCCCGCCTGCCGGAACGATTCCGGTACCATCCGACCGTGCGGGGACCGGAGCCCGGGAACCTTCGCCCGCTGCGGGGATGACTCTGAGGGATCGCCGTGCCTGCGGCGCCCAGTGTCCCGTGAACTGTGAGTACTGTGACTGAAAGACTGCCGGCGAGCAAGCGATTAGCACCCATTGCATGAATTACGAAACAATAACTTTCGGAAGAAGCAAGAGGAAAAAAAGAAGGATCTATAGCGCTGCTCACCCGGCCGACTAGCACGCTGCTCTTGCCCCCTCCCTCCCCTCTCTCTCGCGCCATCCTTTCCCGGAGAGGGGAGAGGACTGGGGGGAGGGCAGAGACCAGCCCCAGAGGAGGGGGACGCCTAGGGGGCTGCGGTTAGAAGGAGCAATAGCAGCAGCAGCAGGAGAAGATGCTGAGGATGCGGACGGCGGGCTGGGCGCGCGGCTGGTGTCTGGGCTGTTGCTTCCTTCTGCCGCTTTCTCTCAGTCTGGCGGCAGCCAAACAACTCCTCCGGTACCGGCTGGCGGAGGAGGGCCCCGCCGACGTCCGCATCGGCAATGTTGCCTCGGACCTAGGCATCGTGACGGGCTCGGGCGAGGTGACTTTCAGCCTGGAGTCGGGTTCCGAGTATCTTAAGATCGACAACCTCACTGGCGAGCTGAGTACCAGCGAGCGGCGCATTGACCGCGAGAAGCTGCCTCAGTGTCAGATGATCTTCGACGAGAACGAGTGCTTCCTAGACTTTGAGGTGTCGGTGATCGGGCCCTCACAGAGCTGGGTGGACCTGTTCGAGGGCCGGGTCATCGTGCTGGACATCAACGATAACACGCCCACCTTCCCGTCGCCGGTACTCACGCTCACGGTGGAGGAGAACCGACCCGTAGGCACGCTCTACCTGCTACCCACCGCCACTGACCGTGACTTCGGCCGCAACGGCATCGAGCGCTATGAGCTGCTCCAGGAGCCCGGGGGCGGCGGTGGCGAGGGCCGGCGCGCTGGGTCTGCCGACAGCGCCCCCTACCCCGGGGGCGGCGGGAACGGCGCGAGCAGCGGCAGTGGCCAGGGAAACTCCAAGCGGCGGCTGGACCCGCCTGAGAGCGGTGGCGGGACCAACCCAGGTGGCCGCAGCAGCGTGTTCGAGCTGCAGGTGGCCGATACCCCGGACGGTGAAAAGCAGCCTCAGTTGATTGTGAAGGGGGCGCTGGACCGCGAGCAGCGTGACTCCTACGAGTTGACCCTGCGCGTTAGGGATGGTGGCGACCCACCGCGCTCTTCGCAAGCCATCCTGCGGGTGCTCATCACGGACGTGAACGACAACAGCCCCCGCTTCGAGAAAAGCGTCTATGAGGCTGACTTGGCAGAGAATAGTGCCCCGGGGACTCCCATCCTGCAGCTTCGGGCCGCGGACATGGACGTGGGGGTCAATGGGCAGATAGAATACGTGTTTGGAGCGGCCACTGAATCCGTGAGGCGGCTGCTGCGCCTCGACGAGACATCGGGTTGGCTCAGCGTCCTGCACCGCATCGACAGAGAGGAGGTGAATCAGCTGAGATTCACTGTTATGGCCCGTGACCGTGGTCAGCCCCCTAAGACTGACAAAGCCACCGTGGTCCTCAACATCAAGGATGAAAACGACAACGTGCCGTCCATTGAAATTCGAAAGATTGGCCGCATCCCACTCAAGGACGGTGTGGCTAACGTGGTTGAGGATGTTCTGGTTGACACTCCTATCGCCCTGGTGCAAGTGTCCGATCGAGACCAAGGTGAGAACGGGGTGGTCACCTGCACTGTTGTGGGTGATGTGCCCTTTCAGCTCAAGCCGGCCAGCGATACAGAAGGTGACCAGAACAAGAAAAAGTACTTCCTGCACACCTCTGCTCCTCTGGACTATGAGACTACCCCCGAGTTCAACGTGGTCATAGTAGCAGTCGACTCAGGCAGCCCCAGCCTCTCCAGCAACAACTCTCTGGTGGTCAAGGTGGGAGACACCAATGACAACCCGCCAGTCTTCGAGCATTCCGTCGTGGAGGTTTACTTCTTCGAGAACAATATCCCGGGCGACAGGGTGGCCACGGTGAAGGCTACTGATGCTGACAGCGGGAAGAATGCCGAGATTGCCTACTCTTTAGACTCGTCCGTGATGGGGGTTTTTACCATTGATCCCAATTCAGGGGACATACTGGTAAATACTGTGCTGGACCGGGAGCAGAATGACAGGTATGAGTTTAAAGTTAATGCCAAAGACAAAGGCATCCCGGTGCTCCAGGGCAGCACCTCTGTGATTGTGCAGGTGGCTGATAAGAATGACAATGACCCTAAGTTTATGCAGGACGTCTTTACCTTTTATGTGAAAGAGAACTTGCAGCCCAACAGCCCTGTGGGGATGGTCACTGTGATGGATGCTGACAAAGGGAAAAATGCAGAGATGAGACTTTATATAGAGGAGAACAGTAACATTTTTTCCATTGAGAATGACACGGGGACCATTTACTCTACAATGTCTTTTGACCGAGAACATCAGACCACCTACACTTTCAGAGTCAAAGCTGTGGATGGGGGAGATCCTCCTAGATCCGCCACAGCTACAGTCTCTCTTTTTGTAATGGATGAAAATGACAATGCCCCCACAGTTAGCCTTCCCAGAAACATTTCCTACACTTTACTGCCACCTTCAAGTAATGTCAGGACAGTAGTAGCTACAGTGTTGGCAACAGACAGTGATGATGGCATCAACGCAGACCTTAACTACAGCATTGTGGGAGGGAATCCCTTCAAGCTGTTTGAGATTGATTCTACCAGTGGGGTGGTTTCCTTAGTGGGGAAACTCACCCAAAAGCATTATGGTTTACACAGGCTGGTGGTGCAAGTGAATGACAGTGGGCAGCCTTCCCAGTCCACCACCACTCTGGTACATGTGTTTGTCAATGAAAGTGTTTCTAATGCAACTGTGATTGACTCGCAGATAGTCAGAAGTTTGCACACCCCACTCACCCAGGATATAGCTGGTGACCCAAGCTATGAAATTAGCAAGCAGAGACTGAGTATTGTCATTGGAGTGGTTGCTGGAATTATGACAGTGATTCTGATCATCTTAATTGTAGTGATGGCAAGGTACTGCAGGTCCAAAAATAAAAATGGCTATGAAGCCGGCAAAAAAGATCACGAAGACTTTTTTACACCCCAACAACATGACAAATCGAAAAAGCCTAAAAAGGACAAGAGAAATAAAAAATCTAAGCAGCCGCTCTACAGCAGCATTGTCACTGTAGAAGCTTCTAAACCAAATGGACAGAGGTATGATAGTGTCAATGAGAAGCTATCAGACAGCCCTAGCATGGGGCGATACCGATCTGTTAATGGTGGCCCTGGTAGTCCTGACCTGGCAAGGCATTACAAATCCAGTTCCCCATTGCCTACTGTCCAACTTCATCCCCAATCACCAACTGCAGGAAAAAAACACCAGGCCGTACAAGATCTACCACCAGCCAACACATTTGTGGGAGCAGGAGACAACATTTCAATTGGATCAGATCACTGCTCTGAATACAGCTGTCAAACCAATAACAAGTACAGCAAACAGGTAAGAAGCATTTCAAATACATTTAAATACAATCCTAGAGAGGGTTAATAACCCTGAGACAGCATCTTTTGTAAAGTTGTGTTTTCTGTTTTCTCAAGCAATTGTTTACAGTTTTTAATAGCAGGAATTTAATGTTAAACTATGTACTATTAATTAAACAGATCATCTATGGAAAGTGCAACACTGTATTTTGTAAATTAGACCTATGGTTTACTAAGCTGCTAAAGGAAATATTCAAAAGAGGCAGTATTTTGCACTTTTCATTGCACCTGACAGACAACCCCATTCCTCTTACCTTTTCTGTCTCCAGAATAAATAAATGTCTAAGACATTGCATGGTCAGCTTTAACCAGACTTATTCTCTTTAGTGGCAACTAAGTGGATAATTACATATAGAGTTAAAATTTCCAAACTTACTACTGGTGTCTATGAAAATAGGACTCTATGAATGTTTTAGCTATGTTATACATTATGCAGAGTTTTACAGATAAGCAGATGCTGGTTAATGCAAATGTAGTACCAACCTAAAATAGTGAAATACTCATGGTTTTGGCAGAAATAATATCTTAAACATATTTAATGATATGCAAATATTGTACGAAACGATATTGCAATACTTCTGACATCTAAAAAAAATTTGGTTTCTAAGATATCAGCTATTTGCAGGTATTTGCATTCTTTATGTTCAGTAATAAAAGTTTGAAAGCCAGAATAAATCACATCAGTCAGTTATTATTTCAGAAAAATCACAAAATATAAAGGATTGATATACACTGTGTATGAGTATTTTGATGAATTATGATATACGCAAAATATAAAGGGCATATGAAATATTTGATATAGTTGTTTCTTGGTGGAATGTGGAAATAATTTAAAATATTTGTATTTTAAGGTAAACTTCAGAAAATATATAATTTACTTTTGAATGTTTTGCTTATATAATCTATAGTACTCAGAAAGTTTACTTTTCATACCACTGAGATTTATTTGACACAAAGCAAACAGAACCTTTGGAGACTGCTGTATCTAAAGCTGTAACAAACTCTGCTAATGAAATATCATCTGTATCTTTACTGCCAGAATCATCTCAAAAAACAAATCATGGTGGCTAAATAATATCAAATGATAGTTTTTCTATGAAATATGTTTGTTGAACGTGTAATCTGACAATAATTTAGGCAAAAGAAAAGGTTATTTTGTAAAATTCATTGAAGATATTATAGAAAAGGGATATTCCTTATCATTTGCATATTTATTAAAATAAGTTTTCTAAAGGTACTTTTTATGTATAAAGTGCTTTATGATAGCTATTTGGACAATGAGACATAGATGTAATATGCTCTTAGATCCAATAATCAAAACTATACAAGGAAACACTGGTTTGAAATATACTACATTAAGTGGCTCTTGATATGTCTTTTAATGTACATCAACCTGAGTTTTTAATTTATTTTAACGTTAAATATGTCAAAGTGGGGAGTTTATACATGTTGTGTATGTGCTTTACTTGGAGTTTTTGTTGTTGTTCTTTTGTTCTTCATGTTTTTATCAGTTTTGTAAACAAGAAAAATATCCCATTTAAATAATAGCATATTTATAAGGTTACTTGTAATTACCTATAAATAACTCTAGGTGTTTCCCTAGAAAATGATAAAATGGAATATAAAATATCAGGAAGAGATCATCTGTCATCCACTAGATACTATTTGTCCTTTGACTGAGTGGTATTTGCATTCTAAACTGTGTAATAGTGTGTTTTTGAGTGGACACATGAAGTGGCAGATTTATTGATATTTTATGCAAACACCTCATGTGTCCTGTACTATCACTTAAGAGTCATTTGGCTCATCAGATAGGGCCAGCTCTATATTCTTGAATATTTAAAACAGCCAATATCAAGACTGTTGGCATCCTGTTTAAAAGGAAAAGTGATACCCTTATAAATAAACTAGTCTATGATGCTAGTCTCTTCACTGAGCAAAGTTCACATACCAAAAGAGAAAACTCACAAAGCAATTGAAATAAATCATGCAGTTTGCCAAATGTGACTTTGGTAAGCTAGTTTGTCATTAGGTGTTCAAAAGATGTATAAAGTTTTAACCACAAGTAAATAACTGACCTGACATGAAATGAAGGAGAATGAAACATAGTCTCCTTAATGTAATTAGTGATAGTAATTGATACGCTTCATCTCAATATTGCTGTCAAGGGACTGGGGATCTAAGTACAAAGTTACATACAATATAGACAGCTAACATAATCAGAAAGGATCATTTTTGTTTTGATTTGTGCTTGTACCATAAATAGATGGTGTTCTATCTTCATTATAAAAAAGATACTGCCTTTACATTTTTGAGTTGACAAAATATATATTCTTTGATTAAACCTGATGCAAAAGTAAACAGTGTCTTGTTATAATTTTCCTTCCTTTAATGATAATTTGAGAAAAACATTAGGGTTGCCTTCTTTTAATTTCTTCTAGAAGAGATTAATTGAATATCTGAGATTTCATCTGATTTAAAGCCTTCACTTACATTTATAGTTCCCTGAATTGCCATATTCTAGTTCTTTTTTAGTGATAAAATATAAGTGATGTCTCTTATAGTTTTGCTGTCTTTATGAGAAATAGACTTTTTGAGGTATTCCTCAGAAGTCACCTTTACAGTTATAATAAGTTAAACCGCTTTATAGGAATAAAAGTCTACACATAACAATCCTTTCCCTTTTTTTTTTTTTTGTTTTTTGTTTGTTTTCACAGGCTTTAGAGACATTCAAATCAAGGTTCTGTAGTTACTCTGATAGAATCTAGGAGATGTGTGTTTCAGAGTTGCTGGAATTATTTCAGATATTCACACATTAGAAAAATTGATGATGCAGTCCAGGTCTTCATAGTTCTGACTTTTCCAACTGAAACAAAAACCTTTGCTCTCCCAAATAAATGTGTTTAGTTGAGCACAGTGTGCATCCTTGACAGAATTATTGAGATTAAGTGTCCATCTTGTCATTTCACTCTTGCTTTTTATGCTTAGTAAACCTCACGCATGTTGCTTAGTAATTTTGTGGCCTGAATGTGTAAACTGTACTTCTATACTTTTGTGTGTATTAAAAGAACAAGACATTCTGATTTGGTTTGGTTTTTTACTTATTTTAAATTACCAGTTTTCCACTAAGTGTTAAATGAATGTTTTTCGATTTTCTTACAAAAAGTAATATAATTCCAAAAGATTGATAGATAATATAAAAGTACAATTACTACTTTGCTCATTATTCTCAAATCTTGTTTACTTATTTTTGCAATGCTCTTATTTAGATAATGCACTTGAAAGTAAAATTTCATTGTATTTAGTAAATGGAAAAAAGTAAGGTCTTTTGTTTTTGTCATACAAATTAGATAAACCAATTTTAAAATCCATTTGTAGCTGATCTTGAGATAGTCAAGAAAAAAATTCATATAAATTCCAATGACAGTTTTCTTTATGCAAGGAAGTGTTGAAATGAACCTGAATAATGCTTTTATAGTTAATTAAATTTTGTTCAATATAATTTGTGCATAGTAAAAATATGACTCAATTCGTTTATAAATTGAAGTATCCTTCCAAAATGTGGATTTTGGAAGCAATTGGGGAACAGACCACCACTTATTAGAGTGATAAGCACTAAGAATTTAATAACAATGTTATTTACTAATGCAAATTACACTATATATATTGTAGTAGAAATGTATCCATTTAGTGATGCTATTGATCACTTCCTATTTCAATTTGTTAAGATAATATCTGTACTAGCATAATATTATTCTCCTGTCTGTAATCAGGGATACTTTCAAGAGGCACAATTAATTTACAGATAGTGGGTTTTCAGTTACACATTGCCTGATACCATAAGCAAAAGCCTAATAACTGATGCAGATTAAACTTTGTCATTAGTCGGAAGGTATCTACTAAATGGACATTATCTGTATCGCTAGATGCTTATGCAACAAGAAAAGATCACCTACTGATGTGATCTGCAATGAGTATTCAAATTTATATGCAAATTTATGTATCACGATTTGAGCCTTATCCCCAAAGACCCAGTGCCTTCACATTGATTCCAACTCAGATATCCTGAATAGGACAGAAAAAAATTGCCTCATAGGGTTTCAAAGGTTTTGTATCTTTATGGAAGCCATTCTTAGGAAACCCTATCCGGGGTCACTATGGGCCGGAACCGATTCTAAAGCACTTAACAACAACAGCAACAACTGCCACATCTTTCTTCCCTGAAGTGGCTAGTGGTTTCAAACTGGCTGCCTTTAGGTTTTCAGCCAAGTGCTTAACCACTGTGCCACCAGGAGCGCCCCCTTATCCAAACTCACTGTAAATTAGTTAATGACTTAAATATTATAACACTAAGTCAGTTTAAATATTTTAAATAAATCATGTATGTGGAAAAATATAGCAAATTATTCTTTTTTGTCATCTTTGATTAATTGCATGTTTCAGATATGAATAACTGTACATATGATATATACTATATCATAAACTCTTATCTCTCCACACTTCTCCACAGATACCCAGATGTATTCATATGAGTATCTATCAGCTGTTTTGCCATTACACATTTATTGCATGGTGATATTTGTACATTGATATGTGGGAAATATATGAGCTTTAAACACAAAATTGAAATTAAATAGATGTAACTAACAGCTTAGTTTCCAGATCAAAAATAATTAACATTCTCACCTTTTAAGATTAGACGGTCAGTCCCTCATTTTACAGGAGAGGTTACTGAGGCCCAGTATGGAAACATAATTTGATTAAGATCACAAAATTATTAGCTATATAAAGTGAACTAGACATCAAATCATGGAACTCAGAGTTCAGTGTTCTTTTTTTAGCTTATCATATTATCTTTGGGGGTGTGTGGAGGGACATACAGCAGTCCTCCAACTTTTTCTGAATATGCTAAATTAAGTACATAAATCTGTAGAGATTTACTTTTGCAAGCATAGTTTCATATATTTGAGTATCAAGATTGACATTTTTGTAATAGAATATAATTCTGTTTTAGGCTGTAGTTCTTACCTACTAAACAATCAAAGGGAAATTGCAATTCAAATATCCAGAATTTAAAAATAAAAAGTCATTCTTTCCCTCCTGTCTTAAAGGTAGCAATTGATGACCTACGTTAAGGCACTTAAAATGGTTTAGAGCATATATTCAACAAGGTGATTAGCAGAAATTTTAGCATTTTGCATAAAAAAGATAATAAATATAACTCCCTTCATTAAGTGTATCATTAAGTATGTCCCCAAGAAAATATATTTTAAATGGAAAACAATCATTAAGAAAGCATTAGAAATGTTTTGTACATTATAAGTGGTATTCTCTTTTCCATCAATGTTGATAATTCCTTTCGACTTCTGGGCTTTCTGCATTTTTTGAACTTTGCAAATGCACTTAACCTTCATAGCATCCTGTCTATGCAATTGTGAGAGATAATTTCCCCTACAAATTTGTTTTTCAACACACTTTCAGAAAAATACGACATTGTACCATATTTAAATTAGATGTCTGCCTGGTTAGGCAATTCACCCATTTAGTATATCAGATTCTAAATTAATATATTGAGGAAATATAGATATTGCATTTAAAAAAATGAAGTCTGAATTACTTTTTAAGAAAAAAAAACCAAGTAAATGCTTGGTAATAAGGTCATTACTTCACTTTAATCCCCAGTGCTATATGAATTTTTTCCATCTTTTTTTAGTGGAGGGGAGGATTGGAGGTTACTTAGGAAATCTGGTGTCACAGTTGTTTAGATCATTTATATTTAAGCTGTATATAAGGAATTATTAAACTATATATAGTAAGGCTCCTTTATTATTATCTGCTGTGGCTGTAGAAATGGTGAGATCTGTTTACATATGTCTTGAGAAAGCTTTGTTACTCTTTCTTTTTAGCTCTCAGAATCTTTTCTCTAAACCAGGGTCTTGCTTGTGGTACATTATACAATGCTTTATTTAGCATTAGTGTTGTGGGAGAAATCACTTCCAAGAAGAATTGAGCTGAAACCACTAAAACTAATCTTAATTATCACTTCTGGTGAATTAATGTTTTACAGGCAGAATAAAGGTTTATTTTCAGGAATTTACTTGTGTTTGTATTGAACTCTAATGCTGTGTACAAACAAAAAAACTATTAAAGCTTTCAAATAGTACTCTCAGACATGTTCGCTTTTATCCCGCTCACTATTTATTATTTACAAACACATAATTTGCAAATGCAAATCTTCTGTCCCAAAACCTCTACCACAACATTCAGATTTGGGCATAAAACATTGGGGAAAATTTTTTTATCGTAATTTTTTTTACCTGCATAAATCTTTATTTTCCTTCTTTCAGATGCGTCTACATCCATACATTACTGTGTTTGGCTGAATTCCACTCTAATATGATGCTCCTTTATGCACCATACAGTGATGACCTTGCTACTCCGAAACCTGCTGGAGCCTGCCCTTGGCCGTGGGGTGTCAGCCAATCACTGCATGTTCCGCCCGTGCATTTCATTTTCAACACCCCCCCTTCTTGATTTAAGAAAAAAAATAGTATTGAAATAAATAAACGTATAAAAGAAACAGTATTAATACAAAAACGTGTTACTAGTAGATAGCTAAGTCACCAGCAACTCCATTTTCAAGGAGGTAGTTAGCAGAATTTCATAGTGAAGATTTCTAAAAAAAAAACATTATTCAACAATAAATTTTAGATGATGGCTTTGTGAGAACAGACAAAAAATTAAGTCTGTATGATATTTGTCTATAATACATAAAATGCCTACTTTTAATTAAAACCTAAATTAATCAGTATTGTAAAGTATTGTGTACGTTTTTCCAGGCCACCACATAATTTTCTTAGAATAAAGGTAGTGTTTTGTTCTCATTATGTGTGTGCATTTCTAAATATATTTGTATGTGCATTCCCACATATGTGTCTGCAAAGCTTGGGGATATACTTATAACAAATTTACCTATAAAATAAAGTTGACGGATTCATTTTATGTTTATCACAGACACTGCTGCAAATTCTTATTTCCTTAATCTTGTAGTACTAGCCAAAGTATCTGTAGAATTTTAATGTTTTATTTTATTGGTCACATTCCTTAAGAAACTCTAGAATTTTTCAATTAAGATTTACTGAAGTCACTATTTGAGGGGACTATATTCATCTGAAGCCTCATCTGTTTGTTTAGACAACATGAACTTGAATAAAGTTCTAAGAACTGAGTATTTTGCATATTGGTGAGAAATCGACTGAATTTTAGCTTTGTAATTGATACTTTCCCAGGATCTCTGGTAGCATAGTTCTCAACTGCTAACAGTAAAGTTGATGGCTCAAACCCACCAGCCTCTGCAAGAGAGGAAAATGGAGAGAAAAAAGTCTGCTTTCTGAAAGATGTAACAGCTTTGAGAAACCTATGAAGCAGTTCTCCTCTGCCCTGTAGTCAGAACTGACTTGATGACAATAGGTATGTGATGCTCTAGGTTTTGTCCTGGAATCTTGTGGAAGATGTCTCAAACTCTCTGTGTCTGTGTATTTATGTTCATATTTGTTATGTCTTTGTGTTTGCTTATGTATCTAAAAGTAAGTTTTTCATATATAAAATATGAGAATTTTATAAACCAGTTACTACACCACTTGCTCTTTTAAAGTTGCCCCAAGTTTTGAACTACTGTCCAGTAATGCCAAATGCTTGTGATATTTTTGTGACTCATCTTCAAAATGTGTGAAAGTGATAGGAAATGGACTCTTAACACATGAAAATCCCAAACGTGTTTCTGAGAGTTTCTGTTCTGCTAGCCGCCAATATAAAATCTTGTCAAAGGGAAATTTTTAGAACTATCAATGAGACTATAATGAAATTCCTAAGTAAAATGAATCATTCTCAATTCTTATTTTGTTTAAGCATAAGGACCAGTGCAAGAATATGATAAAAAGTGCCTTTGTCACTTTCTTCTTGGAAATGCATGTTTTCTCATCTGCAGTAGTAAACTTCGTTGTTGTTTTAAGTACCATTGAGTCTGTTACAGATTTTCTGAAACTTTGAATCTTACTCGTCTTTTTCCTGCGGTAAACTTCATTGTTTCTGTTGTTGTTAAGTGCTGTCCAGTCAAGCTAAGACTCATAGTGATCCTGTATAGGGTTTCCAAGAAGTGGCTAGTGAGTTTGAACTGCCTACCTTGTGGTTATATAGATCCAGTGTTTTTAACCCACAATGTCACATTTAAAATGTGAATCAAGTAAAGAATAAGTTATACAAAACAAAAGAAAGAAAAGCCAGAATTTGTTTTTGTAATTTTTTTAACTGCTAAAGAACAGATTTTCCTATTTCTTACAATACTGAGGGCTAGATGTCCAAATCAGGGTGGTGCTATGATAATTCCTCTTGTGAGTTTTGAAAGAGGAACTGGTATATAACTCTTCTAATTTCTGGTGGCTGGCAGCGTCTTTGCTTTCCTTGCTGTTTATTCATGCATCTGCCTCACCATCACCTACTGTCTCTTTCTCCCTGTGTGTGACACCCATTTTATAAGTCACCACTTAGAAGGGATTCCAGTTAGCACCCACCTTACTCTAATACCACCTCATTGAATTTGGTAACAAAAGGAAAAGCCTACTGCCTTATAAGTCACATTCAGAGTACAGATGTAGAACGTCAACATAGCTTTTTAGGAGACATCATCTGTAACACGAAGTCACTGTTTTTAATTTTGCTTATCCAAAGTTTCAAATAAATGAAAAGCAAACATTTTAGAATAAAAGTTTGCTTGTAACCGAAAGTGAGTCAAGACAGGGTTCTGCAAGTCATGTTCCTTACTGTATAATGGGACTGAGTGAGAATTTGATCAACAAAGAATATTGACTGTAAAACAAGGCCCATCTGAAGCCATGGATTCAGACCTGAGCAGAGTCAGCACTTAAGAAACCATCCATTTGAGTGGCCAGCGTGCTTTGAAACTATCAATGAAAGCTATTATCATATCACAGGGTTGATGCTGTTGTTGTTATTGTAGTTAGGCACTGTTAAGAAAAGGCCAGAATTTTAAGTTAAAGTGCAACCATAAAGAGGGAATAAAATTCAAAGTCAGCATTTTACAAATTTGAGTTTCAACACAGTACTGAGGCATGAAATCACTTTAGTGGGCCTCAACCACAATGAGAAAGATATGAAACAAAGTAAAAATTCAGAGTCTGCCACCTATATAAAGAGTAAATATTGTTTTGTGCAATTTTTGCTTCATTTATGTTTGTAAACATGTCTGTTTGTGTTCCTGTCTTTAGTTGCTATGTAAGTAGATTTTTTTTTTCTTATGATGTAAAGTAAGTAGTAAAAAACCACTGCTTTTGGGGTATGGAAGTATGACTATTTAGTATTATGATTGGGCAAAAAAACCTAATCAAAGCAAGCAAAACTCTGCCACAGAGATTTAGTGTACTATGACGCAGAATCAGAGTCATCAGCAGCATACTTATTGCAGGGCATTTATCAACAGCAAACAGCTTTTGAGACATCTTAGCAATCCTTTGCTCTTTCTGCAAACTTTTTTTTTTTAAACCTTTGAATATTTGCCTTTGGTTCACTGTCCAAGGACATGCTTTTCTCCACTTCCCACCCCTACTTACTGTTATCTGGATCTCAGGTCTCCTGACCAGTCTCCTTTTCTATTACTGGAAGAGTTACTCTTTAGGGAAGTGGCTATGGAAGATGGAGTTAGACACAGAATTACTCTCACAGTCATCATTATATCTTAGCCTTTGACCATTGTATTTTACAATAACTCTCCTTTACAAAGTCTAAAAGGAATATGAGAATGCTAGAAACTGATCTATCCAGAGCAGTTAACTCATTAACTAATTATTAACTAATATCAAAAGATTGCTAATATAAAAAAATAAATTTTTTCTTTGAATATTTTTAATAGCACCATTGTTACTGGGTGAGACACAAAAAAATAATAAGATAGTTTTTGTCCTCGTAGACAATTTATTAGTAATACAATTATAGAGTTCTAAGTGATAGTTTATATTTCCATCATGTGTGTTCATTTTCAAAGCATTTTCATATACACTCATTTACTCTTCAGAGCAAACTTCCAACTTCAAATAAAATTGCATTATCATTTCTGAGTTGAGGAAACTAAGAAAGTGAACAGCTCTTTGATGAAACTTGTTTACAAACTTTGTAGTCTATGAAGAGCTATCCAGTCCGGATACTAACAACGTTTGAGGCATTTGTGTCTTTGAATGCAATATACCTCAGATATCTTCACTTACCTGAGAAAAATCTTCTCAAAAGAATTGTTAGAAACAGTCACAAATTTTCAAACTTAGTACTGAAAAAAAAAAACCCCAAAACAAACAAAAGGTTGAAAAAGGGCTGTAATTTGGAGATCTAATTATCTGGATTTGTAAATATTATACTACATACCATAATAATAGTTAAAATCTTCAAGATTAGACAAAGCACGCTAACCCTAGCTTCATTTTTGAGGTTATCCATCGAGACCTTTTCAAGGTCTCTTAGAAGTAACTCCACAGCTTGAAATGTCTCTTCTCTCTCTGGAAATAATTCTTTGCCTACAATTTAGCAAAATATTTTCTTTTGATGTGTGGTTTTTCAGACCTTTAATTTTGTAGAGAATTTAATGATTTGCTGTACCTTCAATTTACAGTGCAAAGTTTAGTGGGCAGAATCCTGGTGTGGTGCTGTGGGTTAATGCACCAGACTGCAAAGCCGTTTGAACTGCAAGGTTGGCAGTTCAAGCTCACCAGCTACTACTTGGACACCCTATACAGGGTTGCTATGGGTCAGAATTGACTAAACGGCAAACAACAACAACCTTAATGGGTAAAACTGCAAAAATGATGTACCTAGATCAGGGAATACTTGAATCTCAGAGGGCTGGTAAAAGTGTGTCCTGTTCATCACTGTATTCATAGTGTCTCGTAAAGTGTCTTGCATATACAAGGAACTCATATGTATTCATTGAACAAATGAATGAGGGGTATGGGATTTGGTGATTAGGTAGCTTTTGATCCACATAAGATCACCAGAATATGCTGTGACCATATTATAACAGGCTCTGAGAGCATGCTAACTGATTTTTTTTTCCTGCTCAATGGAAGTTCTTATGATGAAAAGCTACCTACGATGTTAACTATGAGTCCTTGTGTGGTGGCACTGTGGGTTAATGCACTGGACTGCAAAGTCATTTTGAATCTCAAGGTCGGCGGTTCAAACTCACCAGCTGCTCCTTGGAAATTCTATTCAGGATTGCAATGGGTAGACTCAACAGCATTTAACAACAACGTTAACTGGAGTTCCTGTCCTTGTATATGTGGTATATGACTCTTGTTTCAATAGTGAGTGAATATTTATCTGAGCTTCCCCCTTCTTTTCTAATTATATAAACACCGAACCCTTTTAAAAAATAGTGAATAAATCTAAATTAAAGCAAATACAAAGGCAAGTAAGGGAGGCACTGGCCACGAAGTAGACTTCTGACATGTTTTGAGCGATGTAAAGAAGGATTAGGTAAAGATGAGTTTCCAGTATTATTCTGTAATCCTTATCTGAGCAAACATAGATGCACTTAGGCCAAAATGAAGACAAGAGGCTCTGTATTTGTGGGTTTATATTTTCCTGCAGGTAATATTTGTTCACTCAGCCAACTCCTGCTCTGATCACTGATAGAAGATAATTTTTCCTTTTTAGGGAGCCCATGGTGAATGAACAGTCATTAGTATAGGTGATAGCTTAGAGTGTCTGTAAAGAGAAGTGTTTATTAGTTTTACTAAAGGAAGA